CACGGTGCTAAATGTTTCCATTATAAGCCAGCAGTAGTATCAGACTTAATATTGGTATTAAATCAAAAGGCAAACTGTGAGGAGGAGCACACGGAGCAGAGGTGCTTCCAGCACGGCACAAAATCTCAGAATAGCTAGCGCAATATCTACACTACAGATACCAGTACGTATATCCACGTCTATCTAAAAAAAATAGCAACAGCCCACTAAAACATCAAAGAAACTCATGCCACAAGCCACTATTATAACAAACTAAAATATTTTCAAACTTTGCAACAACTAGCTGTGTCTGTTAAAAATGCACCTCCCGCACCACGATGTTAAACCTCGTAGGTGGGGTTTAATTGAGTGTAACTAAGTCAGGGCATTTGAACACAGGTCTCTCTTCTAGCAAAGGTAAATACAAACGGATGGCTTTGCTGGCACAGATGGTCAGAGACTGGGTCTGTGTACTCTCTCTCTTCCCATGTTTGAAAATTTGATCCTGAAAGCCTGATTGTGAAGGCTGACGCCAATGTCACCAGTCTGCCAGTTGTTTCTGTAAAGCCACTGATGCAAAATTAGGGAAAAGCCAGAGTTACAAAGCTCTTCTCCAGACCAAATATCATAGAAAGAATTCACTTGTAAAGGATGCTCAGAGTTGTCTGGAAAGCTGCTCTGAATGACTTCATTGCCAGACATTTTGGTATGCCATTACTCCAGGGACCAACTTTCCACGTGAGCTGGTGGTGCCCAGGGCTGCCCGTGACTTCCAGACAACCCAAGGCACACTTCCTCTGACACGAGACCTAAACAAATCAGACCTTCAAATGGCACTGTAATCCCAGCCAGAATTAAAACTGAGCTTTCCCAAATGCAGCTTCCTAGTTTGAGCAGAAGGGTCAGGCAGCCCTTACAGCTTCTAGACCTGAGCACGCTCAGGTCCAGCCCAGCTTCATCTGCTCCTCCCGTGCTTTGTCCCTAGGGCAGCTGAATTACTCCCTGTCCATTCCGCCCTGGTTTGTTAATGTGTTCCATGTAGTTGGTACCAGCCAGAAGACTGCCTGCATTGTAAAGCATCAGCTATAATGTCTTGAATCTTTATACAGCAGTAAGATGAGTTGTTTGAAAGCCTTCATAAAATTGTAAGCAGATAGTTTAGACATTTTGATAAGAAGAGAAGGTTTTATTGTGATGTGATTGACAGTCTCCGTGAAGGGTATTTACAGTCTGACTCTTATTACTAAAAACACCATGACAGGTAGAACTTGATGTGGATGTGTAATATGGAGAAGATGGGAAATTATGACAAAAAGAGCTCATTAAACATTTTACTTTTTTAGAACAGTTAATTTCACATACAGAACCACAATTTCTAAGTGGAGCGTGTACCGCTTAACACAAGCTTTTTGGGGTAAGCTTGCTTTCTTTGTCTGCCTTGATGTCTATTCTCAGTGAACAGAGAATAGGAGACTTGGTCTAAGGAAGGAGCAGAGAGAAAATAGGAATGAATACAAGAAGTGTGAGTTGATACAGAGGAAGGGAGAGATACTGGGAGGATACTGGGTATCACGAAAAGTGTGTGTTTGGAGCTGAGCTGCACACGTGGCAAAGGAAATCTACAGGAGAGTAGGATTTGCTGGGAAGGGATGCAGCAAAGAGATGGGGAAATACAAGAATTATATTGAGTAAGCAATCTTTTCATCCCAACGTCAGAGAAGTGACTTGGCAACCAGCCACCACTCATAATTGAGTTCAGTGGGTACGTTCAAATTCTGAGATCCGAGACTCATTCCTTTCTGCCTCATTTGCACCATATTTACATTACTTGATATCAGAGATCATGAGGAGTCACACTATAAAGTACTTTGACACATTCTGACAAATGGCCTCACACAACGGCACAGTATTGTGCAAGCACATCGGCTATCTTGATGCATATACAATGTTGAATACTTCTGCTACATGGCACTACCAGGAAGATGCTTCATACCTTCAGCCCCAATGGGATCCCATACGCACAGAGAAAGCAATACTTGCCCAAACGGTCCTGGTTTCTTAAGAAGCTATATCTTATTGAAAACCAGTATGAATTACACTTCCCAATTTCAAAGTAACCTTTGAAAAATGGATTCTGGCTTTTTGCTTTTATGCCGTGGTAGATCTCACCCCACCTAAGCCTAACTATTTAGAAGTTATTATACTTGCAAGTCATCTAAAGTTCCTCTGCAGCCACAAAAGAATGATGTCCAGATGTACATTTATTTCCACCTGAGAGGGACACCTCACGCAGACAGGAGGAATTTCCCCGTGAAGCAGCTATTTCTCTCCACTGGCTAGAGAGTAAAGGGTGGAGGGCACCTAGATGACCACTTTAGTACCCCTCACTTTTATGTGCAGAGACTACAGATAACCTGCCTGAGAACACACCAGAAATAATCCCAAGATGGAAAATCAATCTCTGTCCAGGGAACATGAGCAATTCTGTTTGAACTGAAGCAAAACTTGCTGCATTTTTTATTAAGTGTTGTATTTATTGTCGGGAGAGAGAATTCATGGTGCCTGAAACCTATTAGGAGCTACAAAAAGTTTCTCACTTTATTCATCCATTATGAAATTAATGAAAGCAAGATCTCCTAATAAAGAAAGTGTCCTTATATGTTTAAACCAGGTAGATGAACTAGATTATTTGCCCTCAGATTGAATTTTAGAGGTTTATATAATAATGACAGCTATAAATTGAAAAAAAAAATTATGGGAAGTGTCTCAATGACAGAGAGTCTCAGACGTGGAAGGGTGAGCAATAAATCAGATGGGCAGTGGAATATTAAATTGCTAATTTTAAGAGCTATTGCTGCTTTTCTTTTTTTTTTAATACATACTAATAAGAAGGTGAAACAAAAATCTCAGCTACATATTTCTTCTCTTCTCTTTCTTCTCTTTTTCTTCATAAATTAAAGCACATAACTTGGTTGGAGAAAAAGCTCTAATCGCTTTAAATTTAGCCATGAAATAGCAAAAGAAAATTAAGTCTGCAACCAGCTTCATGGAGATGACAGATTAAATATATTTGATGATTACAGAGTAGGTTCCATATGCCCTATATCTCAGAGTCATGCTCTTTACCAGGACAGTCTAATACCAAAATGTCTGCAGACATGATTGCAAGTGTACTATACACCCAGTCACACTGCAACGACCTAAATTACAGACTATACCCAGAGTAAGTCTGAAACATTGCTGAAGGAATAATAAAAAAGTCGCAGGAAATGTACAGCAGAAAAATTGTAACACTGAACTGTATGAGAAATGAGTGAAAAATCTACAGCTATTCCATGCCCACAAACACCTTAATTAGTTATGCAACATGAGTTATTTTACTAGATTTTCCCAGGCAACCTGATGATTCCTCCCTCTTCCTAGTGGCTTATCATGAAATATTTATGGCAAGTTTTGTTTGTTTGTGCAAACCACAGAAGTGTCACAATTCAGGCCCCCGTTCAGCCCCTCCCCAGCATTTATCTTTTTTATTCGACATCTCAGTCTCTGTGCTCGGCCCAAGCTGTGCAAGTTACCACATCCTGATGTGAAAGGAGTCTCTCTTTCTGTCTCTTGAATACAGGCATTTTCCCCATGCTTACAGTAGACTGAAATTCCTGACCTTTTTCTTCGTTTTTCTCCATTCTCACAGAAATCCTCAGAAAGACTAATTTTCTGTGTAACCAATGCAATTGAACAATTTCTCGTATTTATATCACAGATTTATATTAAACAATACAAATGCATACCTTGCTGCTAAGGCATCTGTCACTCCATTTCTTATCTCAACCACTTGTTACCATTCCTTATATATTCTGGGGATAAATGCTTCACTTCTTCAAAATGCTAATACACAGAAAGGGAATGGTGCCATTTGGATACAACAGCGTATTGCCCTATTTTTTGATAGTTTAATGTCCATGCAAGGCACAGGACAGAAAGAATTAAGCTGACAGTCCATATTGACCCTTAGCCTCTTGTATACTTAGAGCACTACAGAAATAATACGTAGTGATATTGGGAAGAAATCTCCTTATGCTGATCACAGCCCACAATAACCAGCAAAAAAATGCAATACATAGAGAAAAAATTCGGCCACTCAGGAATTTGTTGAGTGAGGTCTTCTTGCACACTTAATCTTGATGTAGTTCCTTTCAGAGTTTCCCACAGCTGTTTAAACTAATGGCAACTACACGTATCACTGCCCTACTACTCTACAGCTCTTACTAAGCAACCATAGAAGTTGGTTGTATTGGAAAAATAATTGCTTTTCTATAGTGTATGTTCGGTTGGATTTTGATGTACCTTGTTTGTTTGGGGTTTTTTTCCAAATGACAGAAAAGTAATTCTAATCCAAATTCCCATTTTTTTTGGCAATATTTGATTTGAAGCTCCTTATGAAATCTTTACCTATCAGCATACTGTATTCACCAGGAAGTCTTCTGAGAGGTGTAGACATTATAGCCGCAGAAAATCACCGTAGAGGTCACAGGCAATGTTCTGACATACCTTTTCCTAATGCTACTTCTCTTGACCACAACTCTATTCAGACCTTGCCTCCCCTGCTGTTCTACTAAACCAAGCTGTAAGGAGCACAATATATAAAGTACAGCTCTGATAGAGCACACAGGAGAGAAAATGCAGCCCATGCTCACTCAGAGTGATAAGCCTTGTACAGCACTGGGTAATAGAGGCAACGATTCATGCATTAACATGCAGCAGGCTCATTGTTGACTCTTAACCACAGATAACACATCTATAAATAGTGACTTTCATGAGAATGAGTCAGAAAAGACAGAAAGGAGATTTAAGTAATGAATGAAATGGATATAAGTGACATTACAATCCTGGTTACTCTGAACCAACCCAATCAACCCACAACAGATCACGAGGAATGTACTAAATGTTACATACAATAATGAAAGTCACAGAAGCTAAGAACCACATCTTCTTCACTGCATATAAATAGGGAAGATACTTACACTTACAGGTTGACTTTTTGGCACATCATAAACACCTTCCTTCTTTTGGCTGGTAGGAACCTGCAATAGCAAATGAAAACTAAGGTCATTACCCAAGCAAGTTTGATGAAAAATAGAAATCTCCAACTGATATTTAAGTACAGGGTAGTCATTTAATACTAATGAAAACAAGAGTGGCTCCCTTTTCATTCAAGCAGTAACATTAATGGAGACAATACTGAAGAAATAAAACATCTATCTGAATTTTTTAAATCCTAAAGCCCAGTAGCGTTCAGAAATGAGATTTTCATTCTCAGTTAGGTTTGGCTGCATTAAGTGCAGGTGCACTTGGATCTCCTTCCTACTTAATTGGTTGTTTTTTCATTTTACTTGGGGGTTAGAAGATGCACATGGAAGTCATGATCATGTCAGTATGTCATCTTCCTCCATGGCAGAGATCCAGAGCAGAGCTACCGATCTGAGGGAATTTGGCCTATGGCGTTAAGATTTCTTCCTTCCAATCCATTTAATAATCTAAGTCAAGTCATAACATGTACCCCTGCGGTGATGGTGCCCTGCAGCTCCTCTAAGCTGTGTTTGGTTACAATTCTGCAGTTTTGCTAAGGAGTTACCGGCCTGTCAGACTCTGAGACTGCACAACCACTCACACAGCCCGGGCACTGAAGTCAACAGCCTTGCACGGACAGGGGATGATGCACTTAAAAAAACTTTGGGTGAGTCTTTAGTTGAGTCAACAGTCATGACTGACACCTTGGGCATTTATAACCTAGTCATGTAAATTTAGTTGCTTTGTAATACTGGGCTTTGCTTATCTAAGGACTGCTGGTTTAAATACTTATAATTTGTGATTATAATTCTTTTCCTTCCTAGGAGCACTGAACATCTATTGTAAATGAAACAAGCAAAAAGAACAGTAAAAACATGCTCTACACAGACATGAATGCTCTAAGTAAATCAGTGCTACTTTTCCCGTGAACATATGAAGGTTACATTTCAGACATTAATGAAACCTCACAAGTTAACAGGAGAAATAATACTGCGGATATGACAAAAAAAGATTACGTTTTTGTTTTCTAAGACAATAAATATCTTAAAGTTCTGATATTAGAGTAGGTCTGGTTTAGGGGAAGCTGAAGGAATGTTATTTATTCATTGAGATGTGCTATCATTTCTTATTCTGTATAGTATATCAGAAACTCTCTCTACTGTTCAAACATTCTCTTGCCCACGTTTAAATGTCACAGTCTTCATGGGAAATGGTGCATCTTTAACTTGGTGCACATTGCAGAAGTTTTTCAAGAGCATGAGCACAGAACCCTCACAGAAACTGAACATGCTTTTTAAAAGATCTCTTCTATTCCTATCCTGGGAATGACTTGCTTGCCTTGGTTTTCTCAAAGTACTGTCTTCTTTCACTAAAACCACCTACAACACTAGATAATGTGGTAATAAAGTGCTCTCTTTTTACAGACTGCTAAGTGACAGTGCAAGAGCAGAAACCAAGAATGGTGTATTTAGTAAGTATTTAGTAAGTCACCGGAAAGTTTAGTCTTCATAAAAAGAGGACAAATGTGGTAAGATAAACTATTTACAATCTATCAGCAGCATGTATTTTTCTTTTCTCTCTGGAAAGTTTCCTCATTAGCCAACTTCTCCATGAAGTCATCCCAGTTTGCACACTCCTATCCACAGCTTATCATGGAATGAGCATTTCCCTGCACTATCGATCCTCCCTCTCTTACTCCAGCTTATAATTACATTAGAGAAAAGCTAATATCAAGACAAAGAAACTTTTCTGAAACACATTTTTCTCTCCCGCCTTGACACCGCCTGTCTTCCTGTTGTCTTTACTTGCCATGTATCATCACTCTTTTTTGCATTGCTACATAGACTGGGGGTCTGAAAGGGATTTCTCCTGTTTTTAATTTGATTAGCAATATCAGCAAAGGGGTACCAGCACTATTGCTGCTGACAGCTCTGGCTCTGTGACACGCTGTGAACCATTTTGACATACTTACATCTTACCAGCAATACAAGCACCGCAACTCAGAAACCCCCATCTCAGATTGACAACTCCTGATGGAGCAGAACCTGCCTCTCCATAGAGACCAATGCTGCTACATACATAACGTAACAACACCTAACAAAATCCCATCCCCACCTCACTACCATAAACCAACAGACAGGCACAGAGAAGCTATTAAGAAATCTGACACTAGATGAGAGGATTGGTACGTGCTCAGTGATCAAATCACTGCACAACTAACACATTAGAGCAACTTATATAGGCAGACAATATTAAAAGAGCAGACAGACACAGACAGTCTTTGGGGTAATGTATCAAAGAAAGGTGACAGACAGAGAAAGAATGCTTAAAAAGGAAATTGTGACCTCTACTATGTCAAAAAGAAATAAGTCACTTTCGGCACCTATCTTCCGTCTTCAGTTACCCAAGGGGTAGGAATCTTGTCCACCAAGTCTCTTGGTTGAAAAACCAGAACAGTACCAGAAGAAAGAAGATTTGGCGAGGCTGAAGCGAGGATGCATGAGGTTACTGAGCAGATGCATGTTTACCAAAGTGTAGTATGGGGAAGACTTTGTAGTAAATAATAGAGCTGGCAACAATTTGCATCAAACTAAAAAACTAAACAAACAAAAACCAAAAAGAGGACGTTTTCAAATTTCATTTTTAATGGACAGTTCTGAGTTCATCAAAATCTTGTAAGAGAAACAATTTCACCAGTGTAAGATCTGAGCTGTGGGAACCCAGATTTATAGCAAGCCAAGAGCTCACGAAGTCCATGGGAACTCAGAAGCTCATGGCTCTGGACAAGTCTACAGTAGCAATACTTCACCATCTGTCAATTACAATAGGCAATAGAAAAAGACTCGTAGCTTCCTAATCTTGGCATTTGCTTTATTCAAGGTGTTGCCTGTAGTAAATACAGAGAAGGACAATGCTAGACTGCATATACTGAGAGTATGGCATATTATGTATCACAGGTATTTTCTGTGCATCACTGTGGGAGAAAATCTTCATCACATCTAGACATTGTCATATGAAGCCATGAGCAATTCTCTGGTGACTTGCAGGACAGTAACAGCAGTACCTTGAGATGAGGCAAGACTTCACTATATGCGTATCATCTTCTATTTCCATTTTAAGAAAAAGAAAACGTCCAGAGACTCCTCCTGTTCTTTACGCCATTCCTCAGAACACAGTTCCTACTTCTTCCCTACCCACCAGTTTGCTTTAAGATCTCCAAATACTGGGAGCGACAACCCCATTTTGCTTGCTTCCACCAGTACTTCTCTAAAAAGTTACTAAAAGCTCCACACTTCGATGAACAACAATCAGAATTTTTTTGTCTGAATGTAGTTGTCATGGGATTTTTGTTTCTAGCATAAAACTGACAAGTAGAGTAGCAATTTTTTAGCAGATTGCTTTCCTGGAAATAGTCAAACTTTCAACACTATGCCATAGAAAATTTTCTGCCTTAGGCATACTCTCACCTTGAGAGCTTTGCATGTCTTGGTCTAGAGATGCAGAAAGATGCATGTTCTAGTGTGCGTGGTGGGGTGCCAGGAAATCAACAGAGATGGGTTAAATGAATCTTATCTCAATGACCCTGTGATGGGGTCTATAAGATGGTTATTTTATAATGTTTAACTTGCATTTTGCTTTCCCACTTAGCTTCTTTCTATTTTGGCTTACAGCTACTCTACCCTTTCATTTTATCTATTATCCTCCTACCTTTCTATTACTTAAAAAAATACCTTTCCCTTGTTTTTGTTCTATCCCTGCTCCTGTCCACCTTACAAAAGCTTTTCCTATTAGCAGATCAACCTCTAGTACAGCTAGAAGAAATGCTTAATCACTGCCTGAATCTCCTTCCCCTCCATACTAAATGATTTCCTCAAATCACAATTTTCTCACAGCATACAGAGATTTCTGTCTATCTCTAGATTTGCCTCTAGTATCATACGAAATGAATTACATTATATTTTAATAAACCCTGTACTGATCCCTTGAGGATAAATTGAATGACAAAAGATTATTTTATATTGCTTTCAATGCAATTTTTTGTAAGTGTGAAGAATGCAAGCTTGGGCTCTAACATAACATAGGGACTCTGAAAATATTTTCCCCAGTCTGGCGGATATCCATTGAGAGCTCTTAGGTTTTGCTCAGTTATCTCCTTGGTTAGCCAGAAAGACGTGCAGTACCATCAAAATGTCTTTCTAAGAATTGCTTGGATGGCCTGCCCGCCATCAGATTCAGTATCTGTTTCTTAGAATAGGTGTAAAAAGTTTCAAAAAATTAACAGAAAAAGAGAATCCGCTATTTATCACCTTATATAGTGTACTCAAAAGTTTAAGACCCTTCATAAGTCGACAAAGTTAATAAAGTTTGCAGAAGCTAAAATGACAAACAACAGAAAAATCACACTGAGACTGGCAGATTATTCATGTCATATCACCAGAATGAAATGCCAGACATTTTTGTGATGAATGAGAACTAATAAAAACGAACCATACGAAATGTACTTTACTAAATGCTTCCAATCGTTGCAATGAAAACACCGAAGTTAGCGATTTTATACCTGATAAATGTTTTCTTCCGTTTCAGGCTCACGGATTGGCTCGTGTCCAGCCTCAAACACAATGTACTATTACACCAGCCGCCAGAAAGGAAAAGTCAAAGATGAAACAGAAGGGAAAAAGGCAATTTGGAATTCCACGTAAAAACATAGACAGGCATTAAAGAAACAAGTTCAAAGTACAGGCTGGCAGCAGGACAACAGGTTTGTTGGAAAGCACAGCGTAAGGTTGTTTCATATTTCATAAACCGGCAATGAATAGACCTAAATCTCCTCTAATGATCATTAGAGCAACTTCTTAATTCTTTCTCACTAGGGAGACCGCCTGTGGCCCAATATTAATTTTCTGAAGTCAACGTGAATTTTGTCTCTTTTACATAATGGCAATTATTTCCACATATATTTATTACCTATGAATAAAAAAGCTAAATCCAAACTGGAAGAATAGGCTGGTGCTCATGTAACAGTCCACATGGCAAGAGGCTGTCACAACACTTTTCATTTTCAGGTTCTTGCTTTATTGTGAAGAGCACGAAGTAAAACTCCTGACATAAAAGCTGAATAGTAATTTAGGGCATCCTAATTCTTATCATCTTTCTTGCTGCACCTTAGGCACTGTTCAATATTCACTAATGGTTGAATCAGTTTCTTTCAGTGTGCCTCCCACTGACATGCCTAAGTGGAAGAACACAAAATCTCCAGGGAAAAAAAAGTAAACTATCATATATTTTGTTTCAGCACAAAAACATAACTATGAAATTACTTATTTTTCTTCTTCACACTCAGTAGGGTATTAGACATGAATATATTGACATATTTCTGATAATCACCTTTGCTACCAGACATTTTGCTTGGATAAAACAAGACTTAAATTTCAGATCTCTTACTAAATCATAGCCCAAACGCCAACAAGGCAGTGTGTTATAACATCAATTCCACTGTTGTTTTTTTTCAAAATATTCACCCTCTGCATTAAATTCTGGCCTTACAGAAGCCAAAACCAAAATGTCAATTTATTACTATCAGAACAAGATGTCACCTTCCTTATTCTCAAAGTAACTCCCTTTTCAGTTAGAGTTTGTATTAAAAATGATGACAAATCTCATTTGGAAACTTAAAATCTGGACTCACAAGCCACATTTTAGGAAATATTTATTAAATACTTCTATTTCTGTATTTCTATACTCTAACTGAAATATTCTATTCTATTCTACACAGACATATTGTGCTATTACTTACAGATTAATCTCTAAATACGCTATTTTCTGTAAAAATCTTAAAAGTTTCTCAGAAGACCTATCTCAGTAAATTTCAAAACATCTTGTTAAAGGTTTTGGCTGTGTTTCAAGATAACATATATCTAGTCATTTCTGAAACTCCAAGGCCATACAGCTTCAGAAATTACCTGGTATACAGGATCTTCTACATCTTCTTCCAAAATTGTCTACAGCAAAGTAAGAGGACAGGCAGTAAAAGCAAAGAACATAAACAGTAGAGATAAAAGAACTGTATTCAGAAATTAAAGGACAGCAAAGAAATAAGCAAAATGGGCAGGTAAGTATATAGCTTTCTTTCTTTAGTATACAGATAAAGTCACATTCTTGTTCAAAGTAACTTTATTTAAGTTGCATCCGAGTTTAACAATCTGCACCTTATTTGATTTGATTCAAATACACACATTGAGAAGTATATTGAATCTTCCCTAAAGTATTAGACACTGTTAGCAACCTGACTTACAACACACTGACCTTCATTAAAGTTTTCCTTCTGAATTAGAAGAAACACTATGCAGGAAATGAATAAATCATTTCCAGTTGCTAAACATGTTCATCATACCCCAAGTGATAGCTTTCATCACTGTTTAATCCTACTTCTGAGCTCATGATGGCTGTTAGGTTCGTATTTGTCCATTTGAAGCTAGCACTGTTCAAACCCACTGCTGTTAAGAAATGCTGAGGGATGCTCAGTGCCTTTTTGGAGCAACTTTGAGGGATACTTCAAGCCATACTCTTCTTGCCAGTAATCTAAGCTTATGCGTGTACCTGGTATACCGCTTGCTCACACTGTTTATCCTTTTGTGCCTTTTTTTCCATTTCTTCCCTTTGTTTCAGTTCATAGATGAGCTGAAACAGGTCTCGCAAGTCCAGAATTACAGGTTCAGCCTACAGAAGCAAAAACAGGAAAGAGGGTTTCTATATGGAAAAATATACTCCTGTTATCCCATCCTGCCGATTGAACAGTTATAGCATCTCCACAATTGGAGAGAACTTCATACAGAATTAGTTTCCACCTTAGCATCCAGGCTCTGGTTAATTTCTGTCAAACTAACTATATTTGCAAATTAATAATAATTAAAATTATGAATATAAAAGGCATATATATGAATATAAAAGCATATTTATTAGTGGTTTCTCAAACAATGGCATTACGGTAGACTATATGCAAAATAGCTATTTGGTACCTATTAGATGAGTACAGGAATATAACTAAATGTATCTGTATCCAGTCTAGTTTAGTTAGAAAGGAAAACGGTAACTAATTATAAAATACATAATGAAAAATCAGAAATAGTGAAATATATTCCCTTCTTCCACAGCTGGTTTCATTAATTTGCTACTTAACATCTAAGCAGACACTTGTGACAAGTCTAGCTCAAACATAAACAATATAAGATTGGCCTCTTGAACAGCTTCTTATGAACATGGCTTTTCTATTGAGTTACACTGTAGAAAATGACAGTGATCCGATACTTACTGCCTGGGCTGTTTTTATTGCCACAAATCTGTGATTTCCCTCCTTTCCACATACATATCCAAATGCTCGATGGTCTGTGATATCCTTTGCGATGTATGAAATTTCATGAACTGCATGGTGGTGCTGTAGTAGCTATTAAAGAAAAACACAGTAAGAAATATCCATCAAAATGTTCTATTAAAAAGCTGTATAATTTCTCTTTCATCAGTGCTTTACCTGGATCTCAATATACCTATGGAATTAAAACAAACATACATAACCTGGTATCAAAATCAGTATCTGAACTCTTTAAGCCTATTCTCTTTTCAAAATCTAGCCAAACTTTACTTGCTTTAATAATTTGACTAAAAGTTTCAATTGAATCTTTTTCTTGGTATCTTTTGGTGAGATATAATTCAATAGAAAATACAATGTTCCCTAGTTGCTACCTGCACAGCATCCTAGGTGCAGAATCAATATTTGTAGGTATATAAAAGCGGCAGCAGCAGCTACCTGTAGCTTCATACAGGGTGACTCCGAGGATAGACTGATCTGCACGGGCTGCAGAGATAGAGCTGAGATACCCAATCTCTCTAAGAATCAGCACCAGACTTGCTTTCTCTCTGCAACACAGCATCAGCCAGCAAGCGATACTTCATTTAAAGCATAACAGAACTCCAAAAATTTATTTCTCCCAGAAAATTCATGGAAATGCAATTATCCAACTTGAAATCAATGCTAAATGCAAAAGATCACATTTTATTTAAAATCCCACTTTGGTTAATTGTAATAATAAAAAGACTCAATTTTGTTCTAAGTGTATGAGTGAAACTCTCCCCAGAGCCAGGACATGAATCTGAGATTCCTATAAGCATGTCTTGGAGTGCCAGCACCTTTCTTGCTTTGGCCTAAGTAGCATTTTATTACCGAAATAATATTTATGTATTTCTACTTAAAATAATGTCCTTGAAAAGTTTATCTAAAACAATCTATTAGTTCAAATTTCTACCTTCTGATATATTGACCTGCTTTTATATCATCTAGGGATAATGCTATTTCTGAGAGCAGGCAAAGCCTCACAAAGAATTCTTTTGAGGTCCAGA